GAAAGTAATAACAAACTAGAACAAACATGGGCATAATGTACTGATGCTCCCAAATCCTAACTGTGAGAGTACGAAAGTAATAATAAACTAGAACAAACATGGGCATAATGTACTGATGCTCCCAAATCCTAACTATGAGAGTACGAAAGTAATAATAAACTAGAACAAACATGGGTATAATGTACTGATGCTCCCAAATCCTAACTGTGAGAGTACGATAAGTAATAACAAACTAGAACAAACATGGTACGAAAATAATTAAATCAATTCTCTAAAAGCTAGGAGCAGTATCATATTAGATACATACTGTATCAAATGAGCTATCAGTACCCTTATACGCCGCTGATACATGTATTTCAAATTCGGAGTTCTTTATTACAAAATCAGTGAATTTAAATCACAAAGTAATGAATTAGGAATTCGTTTAAATTAACAGCATTTAAGGTACCACTGATTGTTATAATAAACTATTACGTTTTCTGTTATATTTAATGAAGAGAACAATTAAACTAATTAATCTTTCAGTCTTTGAGATATAACATAAAATTAGTGCTTCTAACTTTGATTCTACAAGATTAGATATCCGAGAAACAGAAGCGAGATTTGGAGAATACATACAAAACTTTATTCTTCATACAATGATATAAAGTGTCATATGCCTCTCAAATTTACTGATATATTATATATATATATAAGAAACTGCCTCTCAAACACTGCAAGTCTTTAGTTTAAACTTAAAAACATACAAATATATCTCCAAAATGGATCATCTATTATTGTATATTAATTATAACAAAGTTGACACTAAGAAAAGTGGATCCATGCCTCCCTCTTAAAAAGATAATTAAAGTCTAAAGTTAGATCTATTGTTGGAAGCCCAAGCCGAGCGAAACTGACCGCCATAACTAAGCATTACGCTAATGCGCGGAGTCCAAAAGTATCCAATATAAACGGAGCAATTATGAACTCCACATCATTAAAGAAATTTGGGAAAATTTCAACATACTTTAAACTGAATTTTACTTTATTTTATTACTTAAAAGACTGTCACTATTGACTTAATTTGATTTATCAAAACGCGTTCTTTACAGTTTGGTCTCAATATACGGTACAGCCTTCATGAATATCCATATGTTCGTGCCTGAGCATGCGTAATGATGACCAAATGGAAGGTAGTCGACAACCTCGAAAGTGAAGATAACCATAGATTTTGGCCTAATTGGGTAAATTAACCAAACGTCTGTATACCATGAAGGAAAGGAAGTTCTAGCTGTTACTTTTATAAGTACATTTTTAGTTTATGTTGCTATATCGCATATTACGAATGATATCGTTACACCAAACAATCATAATTGTACATGCACATTTATTTATATCAAATAAAACCATTACTTCTAAGACATACCCCGGGGATAGGGAGGTAGTTACCCGTGAAAATTCATGGAAAAACAACTACGTAAAAATGTTGTAAGCCTTATTCTGAGCAACCGCTTACGTGTCGTTAACAATTTCCTAGTAAATCCAAGTAGCCAAATTTGAAAGCCCCACCCCCCCAGAAAAAAACAACTAAACAACGGAACTAACTTGACTCCCATTAAGAGGCTTTAATATGGTAATTTCAAAAATATTGTATTAGAAACTGGTTTTAAACGAAACTTCACATATATATCTGCGGCACCCCAGATTCAATATTTTAAAAATCTGAATTTAAGTTATTGTCCTGAACAGATCCTTACATGTTAAGCCTAAATTTTCAACTAAATCTGTCCTCTCGAAAACGCGAGTTCAAAAACCCTTGAACCACATTTTTGGGGGCACACTTAAGACTCTCTCAGATTTTTATTGTTTTTCATATTCCGTGGGGAATTCAAGAGCCTAAGTACAAAATTTCAAGCTGTGCTTGATCTTCACTTTCTTTATAGTTTTGTTTTTGTTTTGAATTTCGCGCAAAACTACACAAGATACTCAGTCGATTCATTCTTATATAGGGTTACTGATGAGTGGTGGGATTTTTCAACATGACAATGCCAATTGTCATTTGATTGGCTGGGATTCACGTTCCTTTCTCGACAAGTTTACAATTCTGGGAATGGGAAAAGTACACGAAGAAACTGCCTAGCATATTCCTATAGTTGGAAGTATGGAACATTTCCTGTAGATAAAACTAGGATGAGTGGTATTATTTCATGTAAAATAAGCTTCAATTATATAAATATTAAAATATATATTGTGTTACATGAATATATGGTAAATCAACTTTTATATTATGGCAGAAAGGCCATGAAAGATGTCCTCTGGTACTCTGGTACGTATTAAAGTTATCCTGAAGTTTCTAATCGTACTTAAAATATCTAAAACACAACACGATTGTACGCAATGTTATAATAATAATAATAACTACCAATCATGATTAATGCCATCTCTTATCTCAATTTACACACTGTATCAGTAAACTAAGCCTTATTGTTTTGCGTTTCCATACTGACCACCTGTGGTTATAAATCATACCTTCCAGCAGCTAATAAAGACGAATATTTAAGCTTTCTAGAAATCCAACAACTTTATTAACACTGTTGGAAATAACAACTAATTTTACAGTAGAACCATTGTAAAATATTACAACAATAAACTGTTTAGTATTAGCTTCACTATAGAACATCATGATAACTTTTTGATTTTTTACAGATAATTCTGCTGCCAGCGATTTTACCATTAAAGATTCTCCATTGGTCAAGAGTAAGTAATGCTAAAATTCGGGGTTCGATTTCCCGCGGCGGATAGAGCGCTGATAGCCTATTGTGTAGCATTGCTCTTAAAAACAAGTAAACAACTCAATACAGTAACTGTTTTAACGGAGAAGTTTACGCGCTTTATCATGTAACTGGTTTATAAAATCTCCACTTGTCCATTGATTGTTACTGTATCGGACTTTCAACTCGATTCTCTTGGAGCTCGTAGGTGGCTCATACATTTATTAAAGAGTCCAACATTTGTAGGTAAATACAACATGTCTCCGCCACGCAATCCCAACATGGCCAATTTTGACACCAGAAAAAATCGTGAAAAACACAGAAAAATCAAAAACTGTTTATATCACCGCTTGGGACCTGCAAGAAGGAATTTTTGTACCATAACCCATGTAAATTGGTTGGCATACAAATGAATATTTCACGATTGGTTTGATTTGAATTTCGCGCAAAGCTACACGATGGCTAACTGCACTGGCCGTTCCTAATTTAACAGTTAAATACTAGAGGGAAGGCAGCTATTCATCACCACCCACCGCCAACTCTTGGGCTATTATTTTACCAATGACTAGTGGGATTGACCGTCACTGAAAAGGCGAGCATGTTTGGGGGACGGGGATTCGAACCCGCGACCCTTAGATCGCGAGTCAAACGCCCTAACCACCTGTCCATTGAGAAACAGGAGTGATGGGCGTACGTTTGAATACGTTATAACTGTGCTAAGGATACTGGTTTTGATGTTAACCTGCAAGTAGACATGGCGGCTCGTGAAATTAATTAAAGCAACGAATGGTGGGATTGACCGTCACAATATAACGCCCTCATGGCCGAAAGAGCGAGCATATTTGGTGGGACGGGTTTCGAACCCACGACCCACAAATTGCGAGTCGAACACCCTAACCATGTGGCTAGAATAATTCACAAAAACCCCAAATTGTGCATCCCTCGCTGGAAGATTGAGCAAAAGACAAAAATTTCAAAATTGTCTATATTTCTGTTTGGGACCTGCATAGAGTATCTTTGTAATACATTCCATATATATTGGTAGAAACAAAGCTAAGTAACTGGCCAAAACTTCTAAAATTTGGGTTTATTTAAACTTATGCCCCCCCTAAAATTACCAAAAATTGGCAAGTCCGCCATTTTTGTTTGTCAATGTCTGGTGTAACGAATTTATTATTATATATTTATTTTGATGTCAACGTTTGTTTGGATTAAACTTATATTTTAAAAACATGCATAGCTTGTACTGTTAAATATGAATTGCGAAACTCCCGCTTATTCTCCAAAGTTGTAGAAGATTCTCGAGAGTAAGAATCAACAATATATGTGTGTACGTGAACCCCATAAAATCCTTTAAAAGGCTTAAATAAAAAAATAAAACTCTAGTTGGGCGTTTTTGACCAAGATATGATTTTACTAAGTTTAAAGTCAATCTGCTGAGAAATGAGGAATGGAGGTCGATTGAAAAGTGTTTTGGAGAAGATGAAAGAAAGAAGAAGAAACAATAGAAAAACAACATGTCTCTTTATAGAGACATAATAAAATATCATGATTTACGAGAGAAATATACAGATAACTAGCATCTTACACTTAATAGAACAACTTATTAAAGTTTCACTTCGTCCACGTTTAATACCACATACTTAATCTCAAGATAAACACGATTCCAACGAAAATCTTCTTCTAATTAGGTTTCTATAAAAAACGAGGAGTCGAGTTAATGCCATAATTTATTGAACTTTTACAAAACCTAAGTTGTGGCAGTATTCAAGCATTAGCCCTCTCACTAAACTATCAAATAATATCTATCCAATTACGATTTACTCTGAATTCTAACTGATTATATCTAACAACTACACAGAATAAAATGTATTCGTCATTTTCATCTCATATTCTCAATATACAAATTAGGGTATTACTCATTTTGTAAACCATTTAAACGCCACAACCAACAGTGACACCTGTCGGTTAAATTTGTGATTCACAATAACATTGTATAATCGATATATATATATGTTACTAAACTACATAAAAAACTACCGCATAACACTATGTTCTGGTCTACTGTACTTTCTTTCCCACCTCATTATCGTTTAAACAAGTCGCAAATTACACCCATATCACTTCTTAAAAACATAAAAAATAATTACCCGGATCAACATCAACATCCTTGCCAGTCATCTCCTTTACTTTTTTTCGAATGAGTCGAATTCGTTCTTGGCGAAGTTCGAGAGTTTTCGTCTTACACGTTTCAGTTATGCGAGCCAAATCTCGAGCGATGGTTGTGTTCAATACCTGTGAAAACAAACACTTAATAATTCGATGACGAGGAACCCACTTTGAGACTAATAATGGCTGGAGACGGCTTGAGTGGGTAATGAAGAAAAACTTTAATATAAGTTTAACATAACAGCAAATGTACAACGTTTCGACAAGGTTTTGTCATCATCACTTAATAAGCAAATCCTTGTTCCTAAATATCGCTTCTTAAAGTTAATAAATAAATATACATTAATATTCGTTTTTCAAGAGAAAATCAATTAATTTATCTGAATTTTCAAATCCCACACAAGTATTTCTTATCAAACCAATTATTTACACAAGTAGCAGGTTGTGTAAAAAAAAAAAAAGTCCCTTTGTTCTCCTGAAGAAAAATAGTCAACTATTCGTAAGCGCTCGAGTTTTGGGTCTTATTTTAAGTCTAAAAAAAGCCTAATATTCGAGCCCCGATACACAGCTGAACACGCTTTGCTCTTTCCGTTTGAGAGCGTTATAACTGTGACAGTCATTCCCGCTATTTAGCTACGGATGCCACATAGGCGAATGGCTATGCCTTATCCTTAGGAGTCTCTGACCTGGTCATTTAGCCCATTTGTCGCATAAGATGCCGTTCAGGTCGAAAATACCAATACTGACTATACTTTATGGCATTCTGTATTCGCGCTCATGTCCTTATATGGTAAATGTTTAAGCGCGACTAACTTTGCGAAACTCGGAGATTTGTGTTCATATCCTTGCTTATCAAACGTTCTGGGTGAACACATTGCATTCTTTATTTCAATTACCTGAGCAATTTAGCCAAAAAAATCATTGTAGTTTATTAACAGAGTAACGTATTATCACGTATATGATTAATGAAATACATACTTCATTATTCCAGGTTTTCAAGTAAACCCGAGTTAAAACGCAGTAATGGCATATTTTCCAAACGATACCAAACACTTCTCTAAAGGTATCATACTTGCAACTGTACTTGCAAGAGTAGTTTAAAAATTGGCGGTAGGTGGTGTTGACTAGTTTCCTTCCCTCTAGTCTATCACTTCTAAGTTAGGGACAGCTATAGAAGATAGCCCTCGAGTCGCTTTTCGTGGAATTCAAACAAACTCCTCGACCAACAGTTCAATCTAATCGTCGTAGGTATTTAGATTTAATAATCCAGGGTCAGAAATTAAAGTTATTTCTCTTTGCCCATTTCATGGCTTGTTGATAAATTTTAGAGATTGTGGTAGCTAAAGCTGTGGCTTCCGTGGAATTTTGATTATGCTTTGAAGACCTGCCGTGGTCAAGCGAGAGAAAAGGCTGAGAAGAAGACAGGAAGAGCGTTTGCTTTCTTGTCGTGTAATGAAATGGAAATGAAGCTTCAGGTCTGACACACACGACCAACGGGTCACGAGCGGTGACACCAGACAGCCGACGCACCTCGTCCCAGAATCGACACAAGACCAGAACCACAGTTTATTGCTTGAAAATGACAATTACACAGAACAGATAACATTCTATAAGCACAATTAACAAATACAAATCAGGTAACAGTAGAGATTATTCAATAACAAACACGTGGCTGACAAACTCTAGCAATTTAAACATGTTATATATAACAATTGCACATTTTATATACAGAATCCTCGACCAACATGGGGTACATGATGCCCTTCAGATACTTTCTTTTTATTTCATTTAATGCATAATCAGAAAAATTAAATATAACTTAATGGTCTGTAAAAATATTTTCAATTTGTTGTCTTCTCGAGTGACTTAAGTTATCTAATTGTGCTTGCCTATATTTAAGTAATAACTTATTGTTTTAAGTTAAAATCCAATTGCTTAAAAGTGAATATCGTCAACATTAAATGAATATCTCGTGGTATGAAATTTGTTTTACGTCCGTTGAAACTTAAAAATGAAAATTATCTTCTTCTTCTTGAGCAATTATTACAAAATGTTTTTAAACAACGTATATGGTCCAATAATAAGGGATTGTTTCGTAAAATACAGTTTAGATCCACTATTACGGAACAAAGCCAAAGTTATATGGATACAAGTTAACAATTTCGCGTGTCCTCTTCAGTCCAACGTTTGTTTGGGAGAAAAACACCTACTTGCTATACGTGTTTCTTTCAAAACAAACATTTGACTGAAGATGACACGTGAAAGTATTGAAACTTGTATCCATATAAATGTAATATTGGGCTGCACTACATGTTTTCTACTACTTTTAGCTTAAAAGTTAAGTTCACAATTTTTTTCTCTTTCCCTGTAATTCTCAAGATTGGTGCATAGCATTGCTCAAGCAGGTTTTTAACTTTAACATTCCCCAGGCGCCAATTGATTCAGGTGGAGATTGGATGCTCTCTTGTCTGATTTTCTTGCAAGAATAACAACGTGCTTTTTAATTAGTATGCCGAGTAATTATTGTCAAAGTATTATGCAGTAAATACGGGTGGACTCGTCCGTGATCTTCACTGCCAGTTGGCCAATTGATGTAACAAGCACCAATCACCGTTTTCCTGTATCAGAGTTTATTTCCATATTTAAAACAATGTTGAGGCCTGACAGAGCAGATTTTAGCAGACTTTTTTTACACAGTTTTGAGAGATTTTCATCTCTATAAATTTTAAAGGGATGTACGTAACTTTTTACATACAATAACACAGTTAGTTTAATTTGAATTTAAACAGTGTGTTTTTAGTGTTCCTGTAACTTTAATTTCTATGAAAGAACTCACTTTAGATTGCAGGTAACAGGGGTTTGTGTATTCTTATGTAGTTTTACTCTCCAAGAACTCCTCAACTTCTCTTTCTTCTTTAAGGGGCGAGCATAGTTTGACTCTTGCCTGTAATTTAATTAAGTTGTTGCTTAAGTTCGTCAGTGAACGAATTGTGTATAAGTTCCTTCATAGGATAGTGGCACATAGGCTTATATTTAAAGTATACAGATTATTACTGTTGTGGTGAAATCCGAGTGAGAACCTGGATTTTGTAGAGGCTAAAGCGAGGGTTATCCTTATTGTATTACATTTTAACTTGGGGACACTCTCTCTCTTAGTGGTTCTTTTTAATATTCTAGCCTAAGTTATGTGAAAAGAACACGCACTAGCAAGAACATACTGTTCATTAAGTTCATCACCCTTGCTAGTCAAACCCTCGAGATACCTCATAAATTTGGGGTTGTTCTGTAATAGTGTATCTAAACTGGATTTAGATTACTTGACACGGTGTTGTGTATTTACATACCATTACTATATTTTTTATTATTAAAACTCAAATAAGTGGTGTTGCTCTACGAAATTTAATTAATTATAATTATTACTTTTATATATAGTAAGTTTATTAGAGTTGAAACTACAGCTTTAAAAGACTTGAGTAAAAATTAAGATATTGTTCTACTAAAGACATATAGTGTTGTTTTACTGTATAGATATAATTACGATTTAAAGGTGAAAAATATTTTGAGTGATAATACTAAATTTGTTAAACAAAAAACATGATTAAAGAGGAAATACGAGCCCTTAGTTCCAAATGTTAACAGCTGCTTGAAAACAAACTTGGTTAGTACAGTTTCATTATCTTCATGATAAATGAACTAGGCTGCAGGCTATAACGTCTCCTCTAAGAGGATGTTGTTCTACAGAGATTCTAAAACTGGCACAATATACATTTCTATCAAATCTTAACTTTTGCATTTCATTAGAAAAGACAAAACTGTTTCTCACAGTGAACTTATTTTGTGCACATATAAAAAACCGACAAGTTCACGATTATAGATTCTCATATTTCACATGTTTTTGTAGGGAATCATTCATGATTGAGGGTTTAATGGGCTCGAGCCTAGCGTCTGGAATAATTCATGATTAGATTGAGGGTATTGATGGGCTCGAGACTAGCGCCTGGGATCATTCGTGGTCAGATTGAGGGTGTTTATGGATTCGAGCCAAGCGCCTGGGATCATTCGTGATCAGATTGAGGGTGTTGATGGATTCGAGACAAGCGCCTGGGATCATTCGTGATCAGATTGAGGGTGTTGATGGGCTCGAGACTATAGCGCCTTCTCTTTCTAACCTTTATCTTTGTACATGAAGAACAATGGCTAAAATACTGTCCTTGCAACCTTATATCGATATATCACCGAAGGTATGTAGATGACACTTTTGTCATCTTCAAGGACTCCGGACATGCAAATCAATTTTGAGAATATTTCAATAACTGTCATAATAATATGTAATTTAGTGGTGAACATCAAGAAAATCATCAGCTTGCCTTTTTGGACACTTTCATACATAACAATAAAGGCAAATGTGAATGTGAAGTCTTCTATAAAAAGACATTTACAGGTTTAACTTGTAGAATTTTATTCCATTACTATTGAAGACAAATCTAGTCAAGATCGTGGATCAACGTGCATAAGGGAAGAGGTAACAAAAAGAGCTTCCATTGTTAATAATATCAAGCGGGAATACTTAGAGAGGTTAGAGGTGTCTAATGACTTGTCTATAAAGTGAACAAAAACACAATATCAGTGGTACTACCCTGCACTTGCAGACATGTTATATGCATATACGTTGAGGTTCAAATTTATACCTACGTATTTACTTTGGTTATCACACCTTAACAGTTTAAGTGATTTGGTGGATCATAACACCTATATTTAGTAGATAGTGAACAGCTGATATTTGTTGAAAAGGACAACGGGTGACTAGACTTACGTGTTTGTTTTTCTCAGTTGACCTCCATGTCCATTGTTGATTAACGACTGGGTAAGTTTTTACATATAAAGAAGAAGGTGACTAGTAAACTAAAGCCTATAACTCGAGCGCTTTCGCTGGGAACCTTCTTAGTTTATCCCTGATGAAGAAAGGAACCACCAGTCAAAAGCGCTCGGGTTATAGGGTATAACGTTTTTGTCTTCGCTTGGTTTTTGGAACCAACATGTTTTTCTAACATCATGAATAAAGAACATGTTTATTAAATCAGTTTCAAATTTGTGTTCCTTTTTAATGGGAAAAGTGTTTTTCTTCCGTTTATTATTGGGAGTGATACTGGAGAGCTGGATTCTCGTATCAGGTGCAGCATTCTGTCTAGCTTGTTGTTTCCTAGCGACTAACTTACAGGGAGTCATCAATTAGGCTTCGCCCATATATGACAAAGGGAATACAGAGTGGTACGATTCCACGACAAATCTTGTGTAGTTGTTTCTTTACTAACGTCTTTTGCAACATTTCGAGATATAATATTTTTATTTAATATTCAAAGAAAACAAACAATTCCATCAAAAGGAATAGACCAAAAATTATTTAGTACGTTCTTTATAACCCTAACTTTGTTCCAAATTTAACGCTTTTTTTTGTGTAATCTGAGAAAGTACTTTGTTCTGGATTTTTCTATTTTTTTAAACATTTCGAATGCTGATTTTTACCAAATGTGTTGATTGTGTTACAATAGAATTTAATCTGAAATATTCTGACTTTTCGCATTTCGCGATATTTTTCATCTCTCTGAAAAATAAAATATATTTGACCTTTTTTTTTGTCCTCCTTTTTTTAAAAAGATTTGAATATACTTCCACATAAATACAGTTTTCAGGTTATGCAATTCTTAACTATAGCATTCTTTAATTAATATTACATTATTTCAATTTAACAAAGTTTTTAGACTTAACATGATTACTTTTACCTGTTCAAACCATTGACGTAATGCACTTGAACGCCGATAGGTGGTGTCATAGCACGCCAAAGCATGCTCTTGTCTTTCCTCAGTTTGAATATCCGTAAAAATATTGGAAACTGCCTGAAAAAGAGAACACAGTAAAGCTGTCATTAAAGGTAACATCAATGTTAACTTAATTTTTTCTAATAAGCGAAACATAAATAATTTATTTATACAACCGAAATGAACTTTATGACCTAACGAGGTGAGTGTTAGTTTGATCCAAAGATCTCGAATATTGCCACAAGCTGTTTTTATTTCGATTTTATTTGACTCTTCTTTCTATGTTTCACGTTTTTGATTAAAGAAGTGAACTTCGTTTGTCTCATATTTCCATGAAGAAGATGATTAAAATAAGAAGTGATGTTGTTTTAGTCGACGACATCCATGTTAGAGAATCCAAAAAACGTGCTTTAAGAGAGGTTACGTTTGTAGACGAAACTTGCATGATACTAGCATAACCCTAAAGTATTCATAACTCTTATTCGTTTCGAATTTATATGACTTTAATGAGGAAACATAAAACTGTTTGAATAATGACCTCCGACATTTATTTTTTCGAACCCAATATGGTGTCATAGTTTTTGTTCGTAATACTTAATTTTCTCACAATTATTCACTTTGATGTTTGGAAATATACATAACACTGACAGCAACTGTGTAGTTTCAAATATGTAATTAAGCATGAGATATTTCCTCCTAAAATAATGTTTACACATTAGATAAATACAATATTTCAGTTCTCCAAATCACCATGAGCACTTCTAACGGCAGTACTTAAGTGTCCTGTAATAATGGCATCAGAAATTTCATTGACTTCTTTTTTCTCTAAGAAAATAATCCTACGCATGCTCAGGAAGAGGTAGTTTATAGCATTAAATGTTAAGGTAGAGTTTGAAATAGGAGTATGTGTTTTTAAAGCAAAGCCAAATTTGGTTACTCCACCGCGGGGAATCAAACCCCGTATTTAACGTTGTAAGTCCGTAGACTTACCGCTGCCCCACTAGGGGAGTTAAAATGGGAGAGACTGAAACAACATACAGTCGCAAAATAAGCATAAACATGGTTATGAACATTTCTAAAATATGGGTACCAAAATTATATGTTATAAAAATAACCCAAATAAACGAAAATAAAGGAAGCGATTTTAATGATACAAAATAAACTGTTGACAAAAAAAGGAAAAATATTGAACAGTATTAAATTTGTTTGTTTGTAGTTAAGTGCAAAGCTACACAATGGGCTAGCTGTGCTCTGCCCACCACGGGTATCGAAATCTGGTTTCTAGTGTTATAAGTCCGCAGAAATACCACTGTGACACTGAGGGGATTTTTTATATTTAACTGTACTATGACGTCACAGTAGGGTGTAATTTTGAACATTGTTATACAACTTTCAATTATGCGCAAAGATACTCGAGGACTATCTGCACTAGCCGTCTCTAATTTTGAAGTGATAAACTAAAGAAAAGGTAGCTAGTCAACACCACCTACTGCCAACTCTTGGGCTACTCTTTAGGAAACGTATTTTTGTTCTTTTAATTTTACTATACATAATTTTGTGTAGTAATTTTCATGTTAAAAACCTGACAAAAATAAATAAATAAATAAGACTCTCACGACGCATACCACGGAGTCCTAGTTAGTACCTTTTCCAGCGTATCCACTTCTTCCTCAGAACAGTAGGGAAACACGACATTAGGAAGATACCGCTGCGCCCCCTGCAGATTCTGAATGGCAGCTACTAGGTTGTTTCGGGTCTCGGCGGCACAAGAGTAACGTTGCTCAAATTCGCTATCAAAAATACCAACACGAGATCACTTTTGTCATTCAAGATTTATACTTGTAATACATATCTGTAAAGTGTAAAGAGACAAGTTATATATAAGTATTCGAGAGTTAAAAATCAGGTTGAAGTAAATAATTCAAATGATATTCTAAAGGAACTAAAACATGCCCTACATGAAATAGATAACATATCCTAGAAGCAGATGTCAGGTTTCTTCGAAAATACATTATATTTGTCTAGCTGTGCTTGATTTAAGTCACTCGTGGCCTCACGTCTACTACTCAACAGACTCCTGTAATGAGGCCTGCTTTCAATATGGCCGCCATTTAGGAGCATGTTCCAGCTTGCATACATGATCGTTGACGCAAGTTTGGAATAATCTGTTGATTTAAGTATAAATATAACATTGATAGATAATCTAGTGAACGTAATTATATATTTTTTACTAGAAGTATTCTGTAATCAAACCTGAAAAGTACAGTCGCAGTATTGTGTATTCAAGTTTCCAACTTCATATCTGCTGGACATATAGATAAGAAACGTGAGTAAACTAACATGTCTTCATCCTACATGTATGATTACCTCTTTTAGAAGCAATTTTTACACTTCTCCACGCAACTAATAAAGAATTTTGTGATTTGCTCAGCTATTAATCATTTTGCCTGTATATGAGGAATGCAGTAATCCCAAATTCCATCCAGCTAAACGTTTCTTTGTGTGACCTGGTGATTAGTGCTGTGGATTTGTAGTCGAAGGGTTCTGGGGTTCGAAGCTTGCTCGTGCCTGATTGCTTACGTCCTCGAAACAAGACACTTGAACTTACCACATATTTGTTTCAGCCTACCAATACTATACTGGATATCACCTAATAGCTGAGAGTTAACCTTCATTCATTGAAGTTGTGTCCTGTCCAGAGAGGAATGCATGCGTCACTAATTTCAACCGCTTGTGCCAACCAATGTTAAGCAACGGCCTCACGAGCCTTCCAGGCAAGAAAGGTTTAACTATTTAACTTTAACGTGTTTCTTTTAATGGTACGTTTTACGCTGGTTTGAAGATTGTTACTATATTACTAGAGTATAAGCATCCTACGTAGTGTATCATCGGAGATGACAAACCACTTAGTGTTTAGTGTATAAATACGCGAGTGAAAATAATTTCATGGCAAAATCAGTCTTACGTGAAGAATTCATGGTGAGTAGTATCAGATATCAAGAGGACGTACGGATGGTAAGATTTCTATAATTCTATTACATACTAGCCTAAACTGTAGGTGAAGCATTAGTATAACATAAAAAATGTAAAGTATTTTTACATGTATGAGCTGAAGGAATTGTTAGCAGCACACAACACATATGCAAGCTACGAAAAAAATAACAACAAAAACCAGTAGTTCAGCAGTAAATCTGAGGACTTATAAAGCTAAAAATCGGGTTTCGATGTCCGCGGTAGGCACAACACAGATAGGCCATTGTATAGCTTTGAGTTTAACAACAAACAAAAATCACCAGGTTAATGCGTATTTGTGAATGTTGAACAACAACAGTATTGTTATTTAAATAAGTTGATTTTAAAAATGTGTTTTAAAATATTCAAATTATTGCGATAGTCAATCGTTAAAACGTAGCTGTATATTTCTTTTCAGAGAGCATTAATAAAGTTTATGCATTGTACCTACAATAAATTTTAGTTTTTCTTAATTTTATCAAAACGAATCAATATATATATATAAGAAAAAGCTGAAATATCAGACTATTATATTTTTTCTTTCCTTTATTAATCTCTTCAACCAGTTTCGTGACTTCAAGGGTCACTCTTCAGGCTATAATTTTACTGCTAATCTATAACAAAAACATTCAATTACCGTTTCTCAACTAAACATAAAGAATATATATTAAATACATATATTTTCCAAATGAACAAATATATAATACACTCCGTGTATAAATTAAGTATATTCAAAATGGTTAAAAATAAAAAGTTTATCCTATATACTTTCCTTTTTAAATTAAAATCGTATTATAATTATATTTCTCTTATTATTATAGAAGTACAATTTATTTATTCTGTAATTTCATATCATTACTCACACATATAAATAACACTAGATTGGCCAGTCACTACTCTTTATCATTGAGTACATGCGGCCGCCATTGACATGTGTTGAAGTTCGAACTGGCAGACAATGTAAATGACTGTGAATGGCAGTTGTCCGTCTAAGTTACGACCCGAAAGGAACACAATGCTATGCCATTAGCTGTTATACATACCGTAGCTAAGAGTCGAAGGCGGGGGTGTTATATTCCACAATTAAGTAAAACCTTTTTTTTTTCTATAATATATTAAGTTACAATGGGCAATATCGCAGTGGACATGATGGCGGCATCGAACTGCCGTGAATGTTTACATCTAGTTTCAAAGTATGTATGCGAGTGTTTTTTGGAAGGCATTTCACATACACAATTCGGCATGACAGTTCGACAGATTTTTATTTGAAATGCTGAAAATATTAAGTGCTCATGTAAGTTGAAATAATCATCCACGACATTCTAATGTCGCCTGCTGACCAGTCAGGCTATACAGAGACGACGCCTAAACATACACAGTCTACAGATACAAGTTCTGTGTACATTCACTTTTGATGCTATCACTGAGTGTTAAGATAGAAGTTTATTATAGATACCACTTCGCTTAATGGATGAGAGAGGAAATTTGGGTTAAATTGTATGTGTTACGTCTCTGTTTGTTTGTTAATTTCCCTTAGAAATTCTTTCCGAGAAACTTCAGCGATACAAGTCCTTTCTTAATTAAAACT